GTACCGTACGTGTTTTTCGACGATCTTTCTCTTGGAGTAGAGGGTGAGGATCTCTAGGGCGGCAGTCCAGACATTGATCATGAGGCCATAGAAGATCAGAAGGTTTCGACGAAACATACTGGAGCTATCTGGCGGCATATTGTAAAAGATGCTGGCAACGACAATGGACTCGAAGAAATTAGCGAACAGTAAAGTAACCCAAAACCAAGGATCAGCGATCAAGAGCCTGTAGCTCCTCCAGAGATTTAAGAGAAACTGGTTGGCCAGAGAAAGCGTGAATGGAGAGGCAGCGCGAAGTGACCTGGATTTCTGCGCGGTTCTGGCGACACGAAACTGTTCAGATTGACTCCCGCCAACGGGAAAGCGTGTCTCGAATGCTTCAATTTCATTTACCAGGGACTGACGGTGTTGGCTTTCGCGCCAAGCACGGGCGAATTCTTCTGGACTGCGCGGTGTCTGTCCTTCCCAGCCAGGTTTAACAATCCTCTCAGAAGGGCTTGTCATCGAAGTCAAGAAATCAGGCGTGGTCTGCTGCGCTGGGCACTCAAATCCTAAGCCCTCAAAATATGCCTTGGCCTCCGAAGTCCTGCCGAAAAAGATCTGTCGACCTTCATAAAGGACAATGACTTTGTCAAAGAGCTAGAATCAGAAGTCAGCATCCGCGGGTCCCGACACGATTTAACGATACCCTAGTTGAGGTTGACTCACATCATATGCTTCCTGAGGAGCTTGGTAAATGGCTACGCATACACTGCTGCCGAAGGTCTCCGACTGAAGCCGGAGGGTGCGACAGAACGAGACCGCGTTAGCCGAATCCAGACCGCGAGTACTATTATCCCAACATTGCCATGGCGAGTAGCTGAGAATAGCTTCCGCAATGCTCACACGCTTGCGCTCGCCACCACTGACGCCTCGGATGAAGTCGTCTCCCACACGAGTATTCTTGGTGTGTGAAATGCCCAGCATTGCCATGACCACATCACGAAGATGCTCTGCATATTCATGTTTACAGTGTGCCAACCTTTGCGGGCAGCGAGCTCGAGCGGCGAAGTAGAGAGTCTCACCAACAGTGAGTTTGGGGAAGTGGTAGTCCACCTCAGCGGTATAGATAGCCTCTCCCTTAAAGGCTTTTTCGATGTCCGCTTTACCGAGGCCTTGATAGTTGAGTGTGCTGCCGTCAGCAACCTCGAAGCCATACGTTTCGCCCGCAATCGTTTTCAGAAAGGTGGAACACCCCGATCCGGGAGGGCCCAGGACGCAGAGCATCTCGCCGCTCTCCATGACGCCTTCTAGATCCCGCAATATATCGATCCGCTGCTGCTTTTTGGATCCAAGAAAACGGCTAACAGCCTGTAAGGGGCCAAATATGAAGTCTTCAACAGTTCTCTGGTGCTCTGCTTCGGCCTTTTGACCGAAGACGTTGAGGTTTTTGAAGGCCAGGCCTGCTGAGTTGGGTGGGGTCCCATTCAATGCTTCTGTTTGGTTATTATAGAAGGCCGTCACCCACTTCTTGCTGTCGAAGTCCGGGCTGTTGGGGTCAAGCGCGTCGTCCGTTGGCTTAGGGAGGATTTGCGCGCCGCGTGCGACCGAGATTGATGTGACACGCCGGGCAAGGTCATTGATCTGATCATCTACTTGTTCCGCTGATTCGGATTCGCTGTCGGTGCTCTCCAAGTGGGGATGGTTTTCTGGTGGCCGGGGGACACTGTGCAGCAATTCCTGCCCGGGTACTGTTGGAGGACGCATTCTGATGATGTGAATGATCCGCCCAGGCAAGGGAGTTCTGGGTGGTTGATATCTAATAACCCCCGAACTGGTACAAGGAAGAGAAAAGAAACGAAAGAACAAAAAGAGATATACAGATCCCTAACAGGACAACCGGTAAGAACCCAGGATGCTGTTTCCGGAAAACCACGGTTTAAGACGAGGAGGGCTGTACAACAGCGAGCTAGGAATACGAAGATGGCGCAAGAGAGATGAGGGCCGAGCATCCTCTATATATGTCTCCTGAGGGACTTACATCTCCTTAAGACACCAGAGACGAGTTCTTCGCCGACCTGCCTAATTTGGATGTCATCGTCTGAGCCAGCATCGTGAGCGGCCGGTATGTGCGAAGTGTGCGAACGCGCTGAGGGCCTGGATCGAAGGCGTGACGCATCTTTGCTACAGTCGCAGTTCACCTCGAAGCCAGTTTGTAGCACGACGATCTAACTGGTGGAAGCAGGTTGGTGTTAGAAGATTTAACAATACAGGGATCCACCGAGTCGACTCACTCACCCCACAGGGTGAAAGTGCGAAAGTGCGAGAGTGCGAGAGTGCGATAATGCGATAATTCGATAGTGCGCCACTGGTCCCACCAAGGTCTTAGTGTTAGATAAGTTATGGAGCATGCCAAGGAAACTGTCCCAGCGGATCCCACGCGGGGAATGTGGAATCAAGACAATAAAGATGGGAGGACGGACTTTCGTACAAACAGTGCAGTGGATTTGAATCTGAGGGCGGAAGATTTAAATCGGAAAATCGGCTCCTGAAGTTCCGATCAGCGATCAAACTGCCCTGTTGGAATTCAAATGTCCAACCCAACCTAAGCTCTTGCAGTTAACTTCAAGTTCCTCCGTTCCGCTCCGCTCTACCAAAATACTAACTAGCTCGCGTTACATGACATGGCGTCAATGATATCCAAGAACCGACTTGCGGTAAGCTGGAGTTGGAGCATCAAACATGGATCCGGACCGTACTAAGACAGAGTATTTGATATACAGTGCACGTCGTGCCGTCGCGTGAAGGTTGTCGATCTCCTAGTAGCGGGCGATCATGGGCGATCAGGCTAATTAGCTTCTCCCCTTCCTTTAGGTCCGATGTAATCGCGCCTTTCCTGCCTGCCAAAGGTGTCTTGCTCAGCAACTAGAATGTTCCTATCCCAATCGGCGGCCCAGAAACTCTCAAAGTAAAATCAGGTCCTCCACCTTGTATGCCTTTCTTCCCCTTCCTGCCAGATTGTGGACACTCGAACTAAAACGATCTCAACGTAGAGACGAAAGCAGTGCTCTGTCTGCTATTCTCGAGAGACTGGAACATGTTGAAAACCAAACCACGGCCAAGAGCTTATCTCCAGCCTCCACAACGACGCTGATACCTCCAGCACAGGTCACCACACTTAACAATGCAACAGATGATGACTTTTCCCGCCTCCATAAACGTCCATCATTCAGGCCTTCGAGACCAAATGGATCGCCGGCATCGAGAGGCAGCGTGAATCTCGATTTGACTGCTCCACTCTCGTCCTTGCCGGAACTAGAGAACCGAAGCGATGCAACGTCAATAGATATCACGTCCATCTTGAGCTCTGCTGTCGATAACGTACAACAACTTAGAAAGAAGCACAACTTTGGCGCAAGCGCACTCACTTTAGAGTCTGTTACTATCCCACCTGACTATGCCAAACAATGGATCCATAGTAAGCCATCAAATCTTTCTCTTGAGAAGTCCCATGCTGATGTTCGTCGCTACTAAACTACTTCACCAACATCAATGGCAAGTTACTCCCTGCGATGGTAGATCGTAAGCTCATTGACATGATGCCTGATCTCATTGGCATGGACCACGTCCATTTTGATGCTTCGATGCTTGTCATCTACTACTGCATCCTTTGGCAAGGACTTTTCTTCCGTAAGCCAACGTCATGCACGAGCACCGACCGGCACTACGCCAGACAGGTCTTTATATGCTGTAAACGAACTATTCCGATCTGGCAGCAAGAGGCAACTTGTACTGTCACGGATTTCATTGCCGCTATGTACATGGTAAGTAATTAATTACTTCCAAGAAGACTGCAATCACCGTGCGTACTGACTAGCAGGGCGAAAATAACAGACCCAGACAGCCACGGAGAACTTCGACTTCAGCTTGAGTTGGGAGATGCACAGATTAGCTTGCGAATACGCCCAGACATTACAGATGCATAGTCTTGATGGCCTCGAACATTCCGAACGTCAACTCTCGATGAGTGACGATGATCGCAGGGGCATGTGGGGCCTCATTCATCTTGATCTGTTCTTCCGTCTGATCAACGACAAACCGGCGGCGTTCTCATCTCAACTCCATGACTGGCGAGTAGACATGCCGCGCCTCACCGTCGAACTGTCGCACGAGCGGAATGAGGCCGTCCCGACTATGGCTTTTATCATCAGAAGCCGTCTTACATTCATTCTCATCAGCTATTTTCAAGTCTCGGACACCTTGAAATGTCAGTCAGATGTGCTGACTGCCATCAATCCTCTATGCGAAGATGTGGAGAAGATCTTTGACGAGTGGAAGATCGTAAGTCAGGGCGGCCCCCTCTCGGTATCTACCATGACTTGACTGTGGTGAGGCCTAGGCACGTGACTGACCATGCCTTCCAGGAGAACTGGCTGGAAAGTTATAAAGAAGGCGATATCAATGGCTGGGTACTTGGCGACCTAGCACTCTCGGGTTACACCTGTATACTCTTCATGCTTCGCAAAGCATCGTTGCCCAAAGGCAACGCTCATCGGTCACTGTTATCGGACAATGATGACATGATCCCCAGGAGTGATCTTTCAGTGAGAACATCTCGAAGAGTTCTCAAGGTCATTCACCACATGATCCACATTCTAAAGTTACCAGGACCAGAAGCCATGTCCCTCATTCTCGGTAATTACCGAGCGTATATCGCTCACGCTCATTTAGCCAGCGGTCTGATTCACGATCCTATGGCCTCGACAGCCGAAGAAGATCTCCGTCTTCTACAGAATGTCGCTGAATGTACGGAGGCTTTGGCCAGGGAGGTGAATGAGTTCTTCCCTTTGACACGTGCCTTCAAGCTCGTCAACAACGAGGTTAAGAAGCGATTGTAGAGAGGGCCTGATATGAGCTGAGAACTGAGTCACGCAGTATATATATCGTAAATAGCAAATATATTGTTTGATAGCTCCAAGACTGGTATAGTAATAATACATTTTTATGTTGGATAGACACTCCAGTTATATACGGATTTTGATTTCGTATAGTATTGTTGTCCTATATTCTATCTATCCGACGGAGTATTTCAGTAGCTCCGTAAGACATATAGTGTAAATTCTGCCCCGGAGGATCTGATGCTTGTCATGTCGATTATATACAATTCCCACACTGCCATTCTTCTTAAACGTCCAAAGTACACTCGCCTGTCTTGACCGCTACAAGGCCCCATACTTCACGTGACATTTTTATTATGCTAACAGTCGACAGACACGGCGGCATACAGAACCGCGTGACAGTCTGTATCTGGGACTCTGTAAGAACTGCCGGCACAGTTGCTGCCACTCCAGGTGACCACCTTGCAGCCACTGGCACACTGTTAGTTCACTAATCTTAGGGCTTATGAGATGCGATACATACTCGTTCTGACTCACGCGGATTGAGCGTTTATCCGACGGAACAACGACGCACTTTTGCGAGCTGGAGTTCAGGACCGAGAAGGAATCGTCCGTTCCACCACAGGTATTGTTCGCGTACATGTGGACGGTCGCCCCGAAGTCCGTCTGGGTAGGTTTCACAGAGGTACTTGTGGATGTCGTACTAGTACTAGTGAGGGTGGTGCTCGTGGATGAGCTGCCGGTCGTGTTGTTGGCGGATGATGACGAGATGGCGGTCGCAGTCGTGCCACTGTTTCCAGAAGAATCAAATGTGTGTTCTCATGCGAATAGGAGCATCAGAGGCAGAGATTACCTTGAAGCGCTGTCCTTGTGAGCATTGCGACTACCAACAACTCCTCCCACAACGGCCGCGATCACAATCACCACGAATGCTACGCCCGCGACGACTATCCACATCCATTTCTTCTTGTTTGGCGCCCGATCGGTCGTTAGTGGCGGAATCGTCGCATGATATGGTATGGAAGGATCTGCGCCATAGCCTTGTGTGGTAGGACTCAAGTACTTTTCGTTTGGATCCGGTACGAAGGCTTGAGGCGCTGTATTTTCAGGTTGTGCATCCTGGATCGAGAACACCTGTGGCGCGGGTTTGGAATCCTGGTACACGGGAGATAAAATCACTTGCGGTGCAGAGTTCGGATCCTCTTCTACTGGAATGCGCTCCTATATAATCCTGTCCATGGTTAGTTTCCGCAATTCCCTTGGTTCATTCCCGCAGCAAAGGTGGATCAACGGACCATCGCACGGAAGAGGGCGCAAAAAGAATTGGGGCCATGACCATGTCAGCACCGGCTCAGGGGGGGGACAGTGCCTTCAATTTAATCGACCATGGCTCAGTAATATACTCCGTCCATTTCCCCCTCACGTATGATCCTGCGTTGACTTGCGACCAGTGACAAAGTCAAGCGGACCGTCGTGGGGCCACTGATGCAGTCTAAGAGCACTAAGCCTTGGGATCGGCTTCCTTTCGGACGTTTGGAGTAAAGCAGGGCCGCTACCGTTTAATGAAGAGTTGAACCGCCAATCCAGTTTCAGCAGGCTATCTCGAATCAGCCTAAAATATCCAATAATATGGCTAGTTGGCCTGTATCCACCGCACCATATCTGCCAAGCCCGTCGTAAATGCACAAGCACAAGGAAACGCCGAATTGGGGGTGACTTTACACAGGACCATCTATCTATTTATGAACTCAACTTGATCTTTAGGTTTCCCCAGGTTAATTACTACTTTTTCTCTCGGGTATGCTGACTGCACCGCAGACATCGGATTCTCCTTAAATTAGCAGTACCGTGGTCGGGCAAATCTACTTCATACTTGTGGGCTGAGTCTCGATTTAACTATAAGGATACATTCATCGAGGTCGATAACTTCCCAGATCTTAGATCCTCATCCTTACCCTTTTTGCCTTAGGTTCGGTGTCTAGATCATAGTACGCAGATACATCAAGCGCAATTAATAAACAGGCTGTTACAGAGCCCGGGTTGCGAGTCAATGAATACGGAGAGCCAGTACCCTTTTTGGGGATTTCTGACTAATATGTTTTGAGCAGGAAAAGCCTGGATGATGATGTTGCCTGTTATGTCCTGCATCAAGGTTGATTTATCCCCAAACAGCGCCGCAATGTCGACTCGTCGATAATATGACAATGTTTCATCGCGTTTATATATATTTCGTAACCCTAGGAGTCGAATACTGACCTATACATACATACATACATATATACATATATATATATATATATGTAGTGCAAGTGCTATGACCTGGATGTTTGGTTGGAAGGGAGATACGTCGCGTATTGCGCGAGTTGTGAGCGATATTCTTTCGAATAGGTCAATCGAACTCGTATTGTCTTATTGCCTTTATGGCTCGTTCTGTATTCCAGAGATGCGTCTTTCCCCTGACTGAATACGACCCTTCACTCCCGCACGACATGATTGGAGAGACAATGATATGCCCGACCAACATAGGACTTCTATAAGACATTAATTATCACTGTAATCAGGACGGGACAATTATTTGAAATTTTTATATTGAAATTTGATATTTTCTCTAGCCGTTAATCGTTTATACACTCTGCAAGTCTATATACATTTTCACACAGACCCCGAGTTGTCTGCGCAGGTGAAGGCTGCAGAGCCACCTTCCTTCTTGTATGAGTCCATAATCCCAACGACAGAACCATAGGTTCCTGCCACGGTCAGGAAGGTTCCCGACACGACTACAAAGACACTGAAGACAACCATCAACCACCACCTTATCGAGACGGGGCCCTCCCTGCGCTTGTGCCAATTGTCATAGATCCACATACAACCCATCGGCTGGAAGCACATCATCGTACCCAGTAAGGCACCGATGAGCGACACAAGTCCATCGAACACGGGGATAGCGCTCGCGATAATATAGGCAATGACGGTCATACTGAGGGTACAGGCGAGCCAAACGGTCCAGTGCGTGACGCTGTTGCTGATGAGGTGTTTCGAGCCGCGAAGCAGATGGACGAAGATATATTTGGCAGGGATCTGTAGGTAGGACAAAAATGATTAGCTGTGTGGCAACGGCTGGTCGATGCGATTCGGCTTACATGAGTAACAATCGTGGTGGTCACGATTAAGCCTGGTAAGGAAATTCCATAGGCAATCTTCTTGATCAATCCACCAGCAGAGCCGAGGGCTGGTGAGGCGACATAAGATCCACAGTAGTAATATACGACACAGCCAATCGTAATATAGACGGCAGTCACGACGGCTTGACAGATAAGCAGTGCCGGGGTGAACTTGCGAGGATCGCGCATTTCAGATACGATCGAGAAAAAACCCGGGGTACCCGAGAATGCGAAGACGAGTGAGCTCACCGCGGTGATCCCCTGAGCAAAGGTCGGATGGCCGATGATTTTGAAATCCGATACCCAGGGGCCATCGAGCTCTGGTGCGGTGGGCGGGCGATCTTGGATGCCAACGGCGATGGTGACAATAAGGACTACAGAAAGGTTAGACAAGACAGCCCCTGAATCAACACCTCTCACGTCGATGATGGCGATCATCTGTGGAGAAAACCAATGGAAGGGAACTTACTGGCAATCAGAATACAAGGCAACCCAATCCATGCAAGCCAAGTGATCTTCCCAAGGGTTCGGATGCTACTACAGGCAAACCCTAAAATCGCGGCAACCGCCACAAAGATTGCGGTACAGGCACCATGCGTGGAGACCGCATTCAAGCCAATCGAAATCCCCAGGATACCGGAGCCCGCAACAAAGATCCAGTCTATTGCCCCGTCAGTCAGGCCATGTTCATTCGTGGCCACAAGGTAATTTCAGATGAGCTTACAAAGGCAAAATGAGACTGCGAGAAGGACCCGCCCCGGTGTACCAAACATCAACGCCCCAGCATCATCGATACCATAGACTTCAGGGTGACGCAACTTGAATGAACCGACCATGTAGTCGGACCATGTCGTGATACAGGCAATTGCGATTAGAACGATCACACCGGGAACCATGCCGAGGACATCAAAGGCGGTTGGTATGGAAAGCACCCCCAGCCCAATTTGCGTCTTCATCATGAGAACCACTGTTCCTAGAAAGCCGACCTGGTGTTCTCGTTAGTCCTGCATGCCGGCTGCGAGAGCAGCATCTGCCATCGGCACGAATGTACGTACATTCCGATAGTTCGGCCCTTCATCCGAGATCTCTCCAAATACGGCATCGTGGGTAACATTGTCGACGAGTTCACCTTTCTCGAGGTGAAGAGCATTGGGCTCCTCCTCGTACTTAAGTTTCGTGTCTATTGTAGATGGATCCATGATGTGAGGGAGAGAATGGAAATTGTTGATGATATTAGGATATTAGGGTAAGGGGGAACTCGCAGACGTGAGACCTTATATACCATCGTTTTCGGAAAGGTTGGGAATGCTTCTTGGGGGAACAGTACGTCATGATCGAATTTCCAGAAAATCAATACAAAAAAAGTCACGAAACGTTCCGAACCGGCCGACTCCATTTTTTTTTTTTTTTTTATGTTCCCCAGGTCAATAATAATTTGGGGGATCCTCAATGTGGAGAATCGAGAGAGAGAGAGAGAGCCATTGCGCAGTGGCAAGTACGAAGTTAGGGCAACCAACCTAAGTATGTCGGACGTAGTAGTATAGGCGGTGCGGGGAACACCGCTGCATCTGATTCCTCTTTGGGCAATTGAGGCTATGGGACATTCTGCCCATTTGGATCCATGGACCCAGACGTGATCGAGTCTCATTCGATTTCCCTTCGTCTTTTGACCCGCTAAGATGCAAACGGCAATTTTAATGAGACCCACGAGTTGAAACGTCGACGGGCCAATCAGGTCCCTCAACCTACTCGCTTAGATCCGCTTCTCGATGCTGGGCTAATTTGAACCTTCCACTAGGCTCCTGTGGCAAAGACAGAGAATCCGAGAGACACGAATTGTGAGGGAGCCCAGGAAAAGGAACAAACAAGCAAAAAAAAGCCGCGTTCGAAAGTATATTATCGTGGTTGCCTCACTCGGTCATGCCGATCCCCGTAGTCTTTAATACAGATCACCCAGGCCTGATGCCGTTAGAGGGCTATTCCACGAACCTCTGCGCTCAGGCAATGAGAACTAGTTTCAGGCCTTCTGAGAGACTCAGCCTAAAACCTCCACGCCATCCCGTTCAGGAATGGAAGTCTAAATGTCACCCTAATGCAACCTAAGTGGTCCCTCCCAATGAAAAGTCCTCCAACAAGATTCGACCCCTGGATGTAATCAAATTTCTAGCGTTCTGATATGCGGAGGAAGACTTGAGATATTTTTTTCCCTAAAAGGTTAAGAAAAAAAGGTTTCGCTCACCGAGACCACGAAACACACTCTGCCCTGGTGGTGGCGCGTGAAAAAGTTTTCCGTCGGCGAGGAACTGGGTTGAAAGCACGGAAGGTGCGAGAGTTTCGTAACTTTTTCGTCGAAAAACCCAGAATAGGCTATCGGCCTGAGGTTGGTTAGTCCCCCTGCCCTGGGGGACGGAACTTCACGGCTAGTTGAAGTGTTGATCTGTTGGCGTCATGCGTCTCTCGCTCTACTGCCCTCCGCCTATCTCGTCGCAGGAAACTGGGGCCAACGGAGAGATCCACTCGACAAGGACTATCTAACCATGTTCGGGATGATTACCTCGCCAAGAGAATTGTCGGCGAGGCAGTAAGTTCTCTCTATCTCGGGTCTATCACGAATGAAAATGCCGGCGAAGGGCAAACCGAGTGGCGGCGCTGACGACTTGGCATTTGCGGCCCGTGTCGTCGTGCCCTAATTTCTTAAGCCCCTAACCTAACCTAACCTACCGCCGGCAAAGGCCTCTGCCGAACTCTCACCGATAAGAAAAGGTTGAGTCTTCGAAAACGACCCCAAAGGTGAATGAATCTGGTAAGATCGTCGGGCAGTACCAAATTAATTCACTGAACACAAAGCATAAGGACCTCCGCATTGTCTTTCTCCCCATATTGTGGGGGAACGGGAGCTAATTGCAATCGGTGGAAATCCAACCAAATCGCTCATTCAACATCCACCGCAGTGGATCCTCTCCTATTACGACGAATCCGAGCAACTTGACACGTCGTCTGGTTGCCCACGAGAACCCCCACACCGACATGATTCATGAATTTTCATTGCTCCCCGCATTTTCCTCAAAGTGCATAATACATATCTCTCATGTCGGTGCCGGACAAGATCCGTGGAGGTCCATGCAGTTTCCCCCTCCCCAAAACTAAACTAAGATACTCACTTTCAACGCACACTCGCTGTGAAACACATCCATCTCTGAACGCAAGAATTCTGACGGATCCAAAGTGCTTCACACCAGCCAGCAGATGCACCGCCGTATAATGCGAATCTCATTCCCATGGACACCACCTCAAACGAGGCTTCCATACGTCTACAGCCCTTAGGTGGACATGGCACCTTCACCGTCAAAACCACCAGCGCAGCCTTTCTCGCAATTGCTCTATACAACGCGATTGAGCTTCTGATCCTGATCCTGGCGAACTTCCATCATCATCACGGTATCTACTTCTGGTCGATGCTCCTATCGACTGCCCTGGGCGTCATCCCTTTCTCGATAGGTGCCATCATTGATCTCTACAACCTGGGCCCACTATGGCTGATCCTCGTCATGATCGACTTGGGCTGGGTGTTCATGGTCGGCGGGCAAAGCGTGGTCCTCTACTCCCGGTTACATCTCGTGTCGCGCAATGATCGTGTTCTCCGCTACCTCCGCTATATTATCATCATTGATACCATTCTCCTCGCCACGCCGATGTCCATCATTTACTTCGCCACCGCCTATTCGACACCGACCGTATGGGCTAGGGCCTTCTACATCATGGAAGTCATCCAGGTCATCTGGTTCTCCGTCCAGGAATGCGTCATCTCCACCTTCTGGATCGTCGAAACCGCTAAGCTGATTAGGCTCCGCCCGGGATACGACCGACATCGCAACCGAATCATGTACGAGATCCTGGCGATGAATCTCGCTGTTATTGCCATGGATATTGCGCTCTTGGTGCTACAGTTTTCGGGTTATTACTACGTCCAGGTGCCCGTAAAGGCAACCGTATACAGTATAAAGCTGAAGTTGGAATTTGCAGTCTTGGGAAAGCTTGTATATCTCGCAACCCACCCGGTTGACTCCATGGGACTCGAAGTATCCCCGGTCATGGCACCCGTTGATGTGGCCCCAAGTACCTCTCCGTCAAGCGGAGCTTCAAAATTGCAGCAGTCAATGAAAGATCCGTTTGGATTCTGGAAGCCCACGCAAAAGCACAACACGGCGAGTGGAGGGCTGATGTGATCCTGCAGAGAGTCGGCTTGGATGTCCACTGCATCATCTAGCGCTTGTTTTGTCACACCACGTTGTTCCTTGTACATAATGCATGTATTATATGACTAATGACTTTCTTTCTGTACCTTATGTTAAAGATCCGCTTCAAGTTGCCTGAATCAGATGGGCTTTTTGTTTTACCTCAGATCTCTCCTAGAGGACCCTTAAATATAATGTACGTATTGAAATGTTCAATTCCCTGTTCAACGGCCGGCACAATAAGCGTTAAACCTGTTCCGACCTCTGCCCATATCGAATGCACTATTGTTGCGCAAATGGAGGTGGCCCTTTACAGCTATCTTCGAGATTTTGAAAGGTATTGTAGGATAAAGGGTTGTACTTTCATTCTGTCATATTGCCAAATACTGAATATCATTGTCTAACTCGAGGAAGGAAGGTTAAATCACAGGAACACCACGGCTAACCGCTGACACGCCCCAAACGTTCCTTAGAAACGCCTGATTCCCCCTGGGCGAAGCCCACAAGTACCTGAATCTATGCGGATGGTATATCGGCACAGCTGCCCTCTCCATTTGTATGTGTAAAACATATCAGATCACCACAACAGTCCTCCGTCACCTTGCAAACACCGAAAACTACGATCGTGTTAGTCTTCCTTCTCCTATACACCAATATTATAGGAGACAATAACATACTCTGATGACAGTCACGTTCAACCAAGCCTGCAGGCTGTGTGATGGCAGCGGCGCTGGCCAGACCGGCGAGGGCAGTGAGAAGGACAAGAGTGGGGGCTTTCATTCTGTCTTGCGTTTCGTTTCCGCGTTTCGTGATATTGTGGTGTTGTTGTTGTTGAACATCAAGCGATCGTGTTTCTTGGAGGTTCTGATGAATCTGATGATGGTAAGGATAGCCCGGATGAAGAGCATATTTATATCTCCCAGATCTGATCATCCCTCACCCCAGCATCAACCTGCCACGACCGGGGTTACATCCTATCGTCTCTTCCATTCTACCAACCCGTTTGAAATCAGCAAGTTGATGTCATAGTTCGTATTGTAGCAGTGTGGCGATGAGGCTTTTGAAGGTCTAGCCTTCGATGCGGACTTGATCGGCTTACTGTATATGTTGACGCTAACAGGCTGTTCGAATGAGACCGTGATATTACTGGGCTGAGCACTGAAGCCGAGGTACTCTAGTAAGGTAAAGCGGGTTGTAATATTGTACTGGACTCTGTTTGGCTCCTCCGTAAATCCACGGAGTTGTTGGGTAATATGCCTCATTTATTGGTCCTCGGACAAGGCTGTGAGGCTGATATGCGACAATGGCAGATCCGTCAAAATCTTACCTGCACCTGGTACGTTGATCCCTGCATGACTGGAGTACAACGTGCACCGTTGCAGGACTTCTTTAAACCGTCGGAGAATCACAAACACAATATTACGTGCCATGGCAAGTGGAGTCACGCCTATCACACGGCCCCCATCCACATATAGTGAATTTTGACCCTCCTCGATGTCATTTACATGAGAGTCTGTTCCATGGCTTTGCGGCTGCCAAGAACGCCGAGTCTGGGATGGGTTCAGAGGTGGTCAACCAGATATGACGATCATCTTGGCGGCTGGTCACACCACAAAGAGCCTGCCTGCAGCCTATGTATCTAATTCGTTGCGCTGAATGACTCCACTGCTTAGCAGTGCTTAACTTCACTACCCTTCGCTCCATATGGGCCAACGCAATGAGGCTGTGTCATATGTTTATGTGCTATCAGGCTGTTGGGCTTCAAGAACGCTTATGCAACTGTCCACAGTGCATAAGATCCGCACAATTCAAATATTATATAAGTATTACTCGCACCGATATGGTTATTCTGTGGGCAAGTTACATTCTTCCAATACAGCATTAGTAGAGAAATCGGATTGGATACGATAGTAAGATAGTTTCCAAGATTGCTCGGCTACATAAAGTCAAAAGTGGTCACTGTGGAGCATAAATAACTTCTAATAGATTGGGCTATCATATGGAGGGTGGTATATTAGTCGAAGACTCGGCGTCCTCTGGTACACCTTTCTTTTATGGTAGTTCTTCATGAATATGATCTGTGACGAGAGACGCCACTGTAGCATCGAAATGAGCTCAGCAATGGTATACAGCTTTCACCCCGCGTACCATCATCATCTTACCGGTGTTTACCGATGGCGGGCCTGGCTAGGCCGTCAGCAATAGCAAATAATTTCCTGTTTAGCATTTCGGTGGTCCATAAGCACATGTGCTGAGCAATGTGATTGACCGAAACTAGTCCCGACATGGGGCGTCAGGCTTCTGACTCGATTAATGTGCTAGGCCTGGCTGAATTAAAACCCATCCACCGATAAAGGTCTTACTATAAGAAACAGTATCTCCCCAAGCCAGTTTCCTCCACATCGTCATCAATTGTAAGTCAAGCCATTTGTGCCTTCACTGCATCATCGATATGCGAATCTCTTGCATTATAGCACTCCTTGGAGCTTCCAATGTTACTCTAGGCCTCCCGACTATTAGCCATTAACCATCTGTGGATAGCTCAGGTAGCGTCATAAAGAGGTTCTACCATACCCACTATGTCGTTCCAAAGAGGGATGCTAAACCTGAAGGCAACCTTGACGATAGAGTCTTTTATGTCCGTTATGTCATAAAGAGAGAGGTTGAACCAAAATTAGGGTCTCTGAGTGGTCGCTCTACTATCATCTCTCAAGATCTGGATGTGTCGTATCTTTACGCTTTAGCTTGAACATCAGCTTTGGCTACAGTCCTGACTATCCACCCCTCAGAAAGATTTGGCTAACGTTGTATCCAATATTATTGGATCCTCCTTCCTACGCACCAGGTTTCTTAGCTCACAGTAGCGTCTGGGTTGTCCTATTGTCCCAAAATAATCGGCAACAGTGTTGTCTAAGTGGTATGGAGTTAGAGAGACCGAATATCCAAACATTTCCCACATACTCTGTGTTGTCTTTCTTCCTCTTCACTTCTCTTTCAGGTTCCATCATATTGTATGATACATGATGCCCTTGCTTAAATTCCAAACATGGAGTCGTGGTAACTCGTCGAACGAAGCTCTGAGGACCGTCATTGCTCCATAAACGTGCAGTAGTTATAGTTGTATCTGAAATTGCCGAAACAATAATAGATAAGGTCCAGCTCTCTGTAACTGATCACAATGAACGCTATATCTGACAAAATATGATGAACAGCTAATGAAGCAAAATGAAATATTGACCACCTGTGTAGATTTATGATATCCATCCGAGGGCCTTCCCCATTCCTCGCTCTTTACTGATCAGCGGTCGGCCTGTTTGCCTGTCAAAGTTCCAAACAACCGAAGAGCTCTGTCGGCACTCCTAATAGCTCACACGAGGGAAGTTGATTCACGTCCCCTATGTGGTTCCGCTTGCTACCAGGAATGTCGAGCCTGCCGAACTTGTAGGGTTGGCCTTTGAAAGATGTGGAAGCAAGAAGAGGCTTGGGTTGGTATTGTAACTTTCGGTAACCGTTACGGATACCCTGGGAGCATTCGCATGGTTATGTATCAGTGGCCCATTATCCCCATAGAAGTGGAGAAAGCTCGTATGATAACGGTAAAGTTCGTAAGTCTCGTAAGATATACCTTGTTAGTCGTGGTCCATGAGGTCAATCAATCTATGTAGACTGTTGGGCAAAGCAGTGCGAAAAAAAA